TTTTCAGAAATGATATATATATGAATGATAATTTACAGTGAGTTTGTTAACATGTTTAGAATAATCCCAATCTTCTGGCCATGGCGTATAAACATCTTCAGACCCATCATTCTCCTCTAATCCCCAAGTTTCACCTTTTTTCAACTCTCCACAGTCAACTATACTTATTTTCTAAAAACAAATCAATCATGAAGCTAACTGTTACAGGTCTAGGAAGTTATTAGCTTTGTAATTTAAAGGACAGTCTTACATCAACTGGAATGTCGTTTTCAGTTGGTACTTTGCAGAGCTCTAATACTGCACCCATGCCTTTTATAATCCTTCCAAATACTACGTGAGTGTTGTCCAGGTGCGTGGACGCTTGAACGGTAATGATAAATTGAGAACTGTTAGTGTTTGGCTTCCCCTCGTTCACCATGCTAAGTAGTCCGGAGAAGTTGTGCTTCAATTTAAAGTTCTCGTCGTCAAAGTAAGGACCGTAAATACTTTCCCCACTAGTTCCATCAAAATTAACAATATCACCACCCTGGATCATGAACTGTGAAATAACTGCAGCAATATAATATTACATATGACTGTGTGTATAAATGTGTATGTCTTAAAAAATCAATTTCTATTCCATTCTTAAAAGAAACAAAAAGAATAAATGATCCATATTTCCAAAGCATCTGTTCTTTATCGTTGCACTAGACACACACACACACACACACACACACATTGCATTAAAATTTTTTATCTCATTTTTACTAAATTTCGAAAAAATATATCCATTTGATTTTAAGTACAATTAGTGTAAATAAAGAATAGATCTCTAAACTGTGATGACTTAAACAAAATTGTACATGTATAGCTATGGGCCGATTCACGCTCATAAAGCTCTTGGAATTATCCTTAGGTTTGTTCGTGTCGCATACTCTTATCATAGTTTTTACTTACTTCAATGCGTTTATTGGAGTGAGTAGGAACTGTGGTAGGTGCATATTGGAGCATGCGACGCGAACAAGCCTCTTATTGATTATCAAATATTACGTAGGTTCTACAGTAAATCAATAATCAGAAATCCTAAGTGGTCCTAAGTTTAATCCGTGAAATTGGCCAATAGCCAATTTAGACGACTAAGGTTAAGACTTTCAACTCATTGTAGAACCACATTTTAAGCAAGACAAATGAAACAGCCTATGATAGTCAATTGTCAAATCAAACTTTAACTCTATTTACCCTTTAAAAAAAAGAAATAAATGATTTATATTTCCAAAATCCTTGGCTGAGGTGATAAATATGTATATACGACAGATGAATGTCATAATAAATTAAACTTTGGATGCTTAATTCTATTTATTATGTGTTTCTACTAATATAAATTAACTTTAATCTTGGTTCAATTTGCTCCTCATTTTTTTCTAATTCTTAGAACTAGAAAGTTAGTTGAACCAAGATTAAAATTAAATTAGTAGAAATGGACATTAGTGACACAATTCGATACAAACATCAGTTCACTTTCTCGACATCCAATAAGCAACAAAGATAGAACACACTGTGTTGATTTGTATTATCGATGAATAATCATTTCAAATGGAAAATATTTCTATTTATATTCTCATCAGCAAAATAATTCTAATTCTATCCAGCTTCAACAAGATAAATAAGACATATAAGTATTTAAGATGGCAAGGTTTAGAAATATTTTTATAGGCCTTAGAATTATGACAAGGAATAAAGTTGTAGGAAATTGAACACTCGTGATGACGGTAATGCGCACCTTTGTGAAAGGTAGTTCCCTTGTAATGTAGTTTTGGAGCCTTCAACCCGGCACCTTTCTCGCCGGTGCACAGAACACGAAAATTCTCCGCAGTTCGTGGCACGACATTCTTGAACAGTTCTATGACAATTCTTCCCACTGGAAAACAATAAGACTGTTAGCCGGTGTTTGCATTGCGCATAACTTAGTATAACCTCGCTATTCATACCTTTTTCGGAGCCGATCGCCACATCTAGAAAAACTACGGGGTTGTCCTCATTACTGAGCGAACTGCTCCTATTCTCTTCCGAAGGTTGTTTCATATTATTTCCTTCTCGGTACGATCACCGCGGTGAGATTCTTATCCCGCGAACTTGACGTACACGATGTCGCAGCCGGTCGTAGTGTGAACGCAATGTTACTCGCACTTGTCGATTGTTGTGTTGTCTTTCTTTCTGGGGAATCCTGGGTTGCTTGATACATACCTGCTCTCGAACAATAGGCTAACGAGTTAATCATTGAAGATAATATCTTAATATGGAAACTTAACCGCAACAATTCGACTGATTTGTGAAAGATTTTTTAATAGCAAAAATAAATTCCATGAAAATTTCATGAGATTGAATTATGTAAAATGATTCATCACTTTTATTCACATACATTTTTTTATTTATAAACGCTCGATGAACAAAAACGAAATTCTTATTTCCAGAATTTTTTGTATAATAAAAATTCTTATAGGAAAATTAGATTGTTTAATTTTTATAATTAAAGTTATACCACATACAAGAGTAGAACCTGGATCGGATAAATTTAAATAACGGATAAATCCAAAGCAGAGTAAAAACACTTTCTAAGACCGCGGTCCGATACACGCTACACGCTTAAAAATCATTTCATCCTTGTTGTTTGTTAAATGTTAAACGAAGACAAACAATGCTCATGAGCGTTGTCAGCATGATTCGGACCACGGCCTAAGAAAACAGTTAATATCCCAGCAAACGAGAATGGATTGAAATGGATTTTTTAAAATGGATTCAGATTTTCTCAGAAATACGGATTCATGAATGTTAAAATGAATCCTTTTCAATCTTGAATGAATTTTTATTTATTTATAGGAATGGCATGGAGTATATTTCTATCTTTTCAATCTAAAAATAATATTATATTATAGTATTTTGTGTGTATCGTGAATACTGCTTAATTTAAAATTCTAAATAGGAAATGCAGTTTTTTTCAATCCAATTGAATAAAAAAAAGTTTTTTTTAAATTAGAATTTTTAATTAAGCAGTATATAAAAGCAACATAAAAAGAACTACGTAAATATGTACAATAAATATTACATATGTAAATTCCTTATCCTTAATTAATAAATTAATTGCTTTTATGTTTATTTTATATTAATACTTATTTTATATTAATATTTTATATTAATTTTCTTTATTATATAGCTAGCGTATATTTTTTGTATAAAAGTTTTAAAATAATAACTATAAAATTTTATTTAATTATACTCTTTCTACTCTAATTTATTTAAACTTTTACATGTATAAAAATGTTTTTATATGGAATCCAATTTATTTTTATGGATTTATAAAATACGGATGGATTGAAAATTTCCAATCCATTTCAATCTGTTTTCGTTTGCTGGGTAAAGTTTTCTAATTTGAACTTAAAAGTTCGTTTATTTCCATAAACTTCAAGTGGACTGAAATCGTTTTGTAACATATGTACGATGTTTAACAACAAGTCATGTTTTAATTTATTTTATGCTATTCTTTTTTATTTAAATCGACAAGATTGTCGTTATACTTGTTTCCAACATCATCACGAAAAATATAAATATAAAATATTCCATGTAAATTTTTGATTCCGTATAAATATTTTTGATACTATATTGCTTTGCTATTCTCAATAAATAAACTGTAGAAAAATCACTTACCTACAACAAGGCGTAATTTTAATTACATTTGAAGTGAATATATAATTATATATATATAAATGTATACACACGTGAAATGTTTATTTTATTTTTATTTTAAATATTACTATTTGAATATTAATAAAAAATTATTTGTAACTTCAAAAAAGAAAGATCAGGTCCCACCGAGATTTGAACTCGGATCGCTGGATTCAGAGTCCAGAGTGCTAACCATTACACCATGGGACCTCTTGCGAAGCACTGTATTAGATAGCTTATATTAACCAATTTGGTGAAGACTCGACCTCGTTCAATGTCAATAAAAATTCAAACCTTAGTTAGCGGATACACGAAACATAGTTAGCGGAAATTCGAATCCCAGTTAACGCAGATCCAAGCTCCAATTAGCGAAGACTTAAGACGATTCTAAATTCGTCTGTATTACCACCGAGGAGATATATTCTCGTCGGTGATATTATACCGACTAAACGCAATAATTTTTGTATAACAATTACTTTTTTCTCTTTCACAGATTTAAAAATCCTTTTCTAGGATTAAAGTATATGAAATAAATATATATAAATTTCTAAAAGTTTTAAAACATTTTAAAACTTTTTAAAATAACCTAACAGACACACATTCAGTCATCTTTTTAAAACCATCTAACAGATACTTTAAAATTTTTTGACATGTTTTATAAAACTACCAGAAGACATCTAATGTCCAGAAAACATTCATATATTAACATTACTAATGAATTAATTTTAAGTTATTCTAATAACATGAAAAATTTAAGTTCTAATTCCAATATGTGTATAAAAGATCGAGTTAAGAATTTTTAGAATTGTTTAATAAATTGGTATATCAGTTATAATTTAATATATTTGTACATAACTTTGGTAACAATATGATATATATTTATCAATAATTTTAAATGATCAATTCTAACAATTTTCCTAATATTCAAGAATTTTACAAAATTCAAAGAACTACGATTTTTGTAACATAAGGAGGGGGAAAAATATAAAGTTCTAAATATTCCTTCGTTTTATCGTTGTAATGAGTATAACAATGAAATTTCTCACAGAATAACATGTACTCGCATATCGCTTTATATAATAAATTTTAATACACATATGTAATATTTATTATTTTTATTTATATTTTCAGAATTCTTCCTCAATAAGAATTCTCGCTATATATATTTTATGTATATATAAATTATAATATCTATATAAACAAGCCAGATATTAATATACTTATTATATTTAGTAAGTAGTCAATCTCTAGAAGCTTTTTCTAACACTAGAAATGTATTATATTCTATTAGAAAACTTTTATTTATCATTTATTTTTTCGAAATAATAACGAATCGTATATTTTATCTCTTTACGTGATTCATTTTGACTTGTTAGTTTTTCATAAATTGCGATTTGACATGCGCTCTGCACATTTACCTTCTTCAGTGATTTGCATTCAAATGAATAACGCTTAAAATGAATAAAATCATTAATTTAAAGCATTGTTCGTATTATTATTTTGAGCAATAAAAATGTACATTTGCTTTTTCCCGTAGTCTATATGTAACATCACATAAAATAGCGTTTGTAGGTCCTCCATTTATGAGTATATGCAAAAAACGAGCTAATTCTTTTCGTCGTTTTTTTAAGTCGTACTAATCCGTTTCACACAGTAAATTTGGCAAATCATTTTAAAGTTCTCATTTTTGTTCTATATAGATACGATTGACAGATATTACGATCTACACGATGCTCTCCCTTAAGAGAGAAAGTCGATTATATATTATACAAATATGACCCCACATAGAAATGCTTGTTTGTTCTAAAGCCAAGTTGATAAAGAAAAAAAGGTGCAGATTTTATGATTTTTAATAGAAAAAAAGTAAACGCTCCTGTGCGCTTCCGGACAGTAATCTCCATCCTCGTTTGATGTTTAAATATTGAATGATGGCACGTACACAAATTAAAACACCTGAAGAAATAAATTGCATCAAAATTTATCTTCTTAATAATTGCCTTCGTCTAAAACATCTTTCGTTTGTAAGTTTAATTATCTTTCTTAAACGTTATACAAACCAAATGCCATTATCAACCACCAAAGCCATGAATTCTCTCGCGAAGCAAGGTCGGTAGAGTGTTTAACAATGAGTGTCCACTTTGTAAGAGACAATCCAAAGCCAGCTAGTGCACCGTAACGAGAAGCAATAGTGTGACAGAAACACATCAGTAACAAAAATCCGATCCAGTTGAATAAAAATGCGACTGTAAAGATAAATTAGTGTAAATTGTTATTATGGATGATATTAGATTTTGTAAAATATAAAGACATATTTTCTTATTAAATTCTTATCGATTTAAACTTTAACTCAAAATATAAAAATATCTCACCAAGAAACGCTGTGAAGAACATAAAATCTGTACCAAGTAGCCCACTTTCTGGATCTCCTTCCGCAGCTTCAGTATCTATTGCCAATATTGTTAAAGGCTGTTGTGGTGGTCTAATATTTCCTGGCTGTAAAAAGAGATTTAGAGCTCCTTAGAAACAGAATATTTCGAAATATAGACACATATATTAAAATTTTCTCTTGAATACGGTTGTATACCATGTGTATTTGAGGTTGTGGCTCTCCCTGTAGAGTCTTTTCACGCTGAACCTCTTCATAACTGGGTAATTTTGTAGCTACTTCATAAGGTGGTGGTGCGGAGAAATCTAGTTTTGGAGGTGGAATCTCTTCCCCATCAGACTAAATATTAACAAATTTTACTCAGTTAATAGTTATTTAAATCATATAAAATTGTACATATTTTATGTATTATGTAATATTGCGTAATTTATATGCATTTATGTTAAATATTACATTATATAAATCAAAGACTACATAAATTATATAAAATTGATATAATAATATAATTTATGTAACATTATGTAATATTGGGCTTGTCTTTTATTTGTTCTAAAACCACATTAAAACTTTCTATCTATTCCATTTTTAATATATATCGATAGCGTTGGATGGTTTTCTTTATTTTGTACATTGGACTTTGTACACTTACAATTGTGATACTAATTTTTACTTCTTTTGACATCAAATTTTGACAATGTCAATTTTTAATTAGCGTTTTAATTTTCTTATTTTCTCAGTTATTGTTTTTATATCTATTTTTAATTATACTTATGTTAAACAAATGATGGAGACTTTTTATGTTTTTTGACTCTTATATTAGCCTTTTATATCACATAGTTGTATTTTGAATATTAAGAGTCCTGATAATTTAAGTTTTTCTATTTTTAAAATAATTAATATACTGTAAATCAATTCAGTTACAATGAACAAGCTTATTATGTTATATTACAATATATTACCATTCGGTTTATCGTTGTAGAGTGTGCAGCAGCAGTGGATGCTCCAGAATGTCCAAGCATGTCGACTTGCATAAATGGCATTGCTACAGTAACTGTAGGAATTTCGTTTTGACTTGATGTTTCGCCACCAGTATCTGTACCTGCTTGAGGTGGCTGTAAAACAATACAAAACAAATGTCAGTAAATCCATATACTTCACAAAGTATTGGATGCTTTCCGTTTAGTGACTCAAGATACGAACATTATATCTTTCATGACATTCAAGTGAGTAACAAATATAGAATGACACTTGTATCACTTTTCATACAAAAAAAAATGGTAAAGCATTATTATCCTCTGAACGTTGTGCCTTAGGCAAGATTAACTAACAAAAATTTTTGTAATCAAAATGTACATATTGATTGTTTTCAATTTTCACTCAAATAATACTAAGTATAGTTATGACTTATCTTATATTGAGAAATAGTGATCACTTGTTTACTTTAGTAATAAAGTTACTGCACAATAGCACAAGATTATAATCTCCTCTTTTTAATGTGATTTAATAAGATTCAGTAAAACACGCAGTCTCGAACTTGTGTAAATTGTAGATAAAAATTAAGTTGAATCTTACTTGTCAGAATGAAAAGGAACATCCATTCAACTGAGTAATGATTTCATAAATAAGAATTATCTGAGTTTTAACGTAAATGAAAAGCAACTATTATATACATGTTTTTCTAGATTATAGATAACAGTAGTTTAGTTTCCATCGAAATCGTCAATCGGTTTCACTTTGGTACAGTATGTTTCCGTTAGAAGTAGAGACCTTGTGGATCGAAGCGACAGTGAAATTAGCATAGTCAGAATCATTTCTATTGACTTAAAATTTAGTTCTACGCTGCATTAGACTTGAATTAATGCTTCGGTGAAAATTGGATCATTGACGTGATATTTTTGCGCATAAGAATGATGAAAACAACGCAAGAGACGAGCGTATGACAGGACAAACACAAAGCCGACTACGATCGCGCGAGAAAACACGTTGACGATCACAGACTTGTCAACGTGACAATAAAAAGTATTTTGTGCGAACAGAAAAGATCATGTCCGAGAGGTGCTCTTAATGAACGCGAAACCACAGCAATTTGCAGCCTCGTCATGGGGTAGACGTACCGTATTATGACGGGCGTTACTGTCCATTTCTGATCAGATTTGCACGGCGCAGTTACGAGACTATAAATCGCGAAAACTTTTCCTGAGAGGACGGGTACGCGTTTGCAGGACGCAAAACGCCCTTGCTCGAGCCCGAGACAGCAGGTAAAAAGCGCTCGCAATCGATGCCTTGACAGCTGGTATTGCTAATAAGTCGTAATCGACGTGACGGCTGGCGATCGTCCTGGAGTTTAAAATACAATTTAGTTAATTGTTTAAAAGAAAAATTGCAGTGCATTGAATGCGATACATTGAAAAATTGCCACAACATTAAATATAAAATAATGATGCGTTTCATTAGATTTCGAGTTCGAATCAATAATTCCAAAAAGATATTGCCGAAAATGGTTTATAACAGCAAAACTATGGCGATGCACACTAAAGTACAATAGTTATGTAAAATAATTATAATATGTGTTATAATGTATGTATGTGTGTATGTATGTATGTGTGTATGTATGTGTGTATGTATTATTATACGTTTTATAATTACGAAACTTATCAATTTTTTTCCCTTTCCTTATTTGTATCATTCGTGATTACAATTAATTGATTCTCTCTCTCTCTCTCTCTCTCTCTCTCTATATATATATATCTTTTAATAATAATAATATTAATAATATTAATATATCATTTCATATTATTTTATTTACGATTCTTCAGGAGATACATTAATACTCATCATTACTTCACACACACACACACACAGAGTTATTTGTACATCACTTTAAATTCAGAGTGTGAGCGTATTTCAATCCAAAGGAGTTTATTAAAAAGGGGATTTCTGTTAAAAAAATATAAGTAAAAGGAATAGTGTTTTTTTATATTATGATCTCTTGGATACGATAAAGGCTGTGTTCCATTAAACGCTCACACGCTTGTGGAATTATTTCATCCTTGTTTATTACAAGGTATGTCAAACAAGGAAAAACGATGCTCGTGATCGTTGCGAGCGTCAAG